CATGCGCGAGTCGTGTGTATGTCCCGCTCTCGGCCAGGACTGCCACCAACAACCCGAGAGCTGCTGCAGTCCTTCGTGTGTGAGAGGTTAGTGAGAACTTGAGCCTTGGGGACCCGAAGCCACTCCCGGAGAGCTTCAGTGTTTATTTATTTCCATCCGCGACGCCATCTTGAGGGTTATCGCGTAGGAGGGAGACGTATTCATCCAGGGTGGGTTTCGTGAATCTTCTCGTGGTTACCCTTCCATCCCGTCCCCAGCCACAAGCCGTCGCTGGACAGGTAGGAGGGGTTGCCAGAGGTGCGTGTTGTCCTTACTGCCCTACCGTGACGGCGTGATCTACCAGATGTGAGGGCTGTCGTACCGGGAGAGGGAAACAATCGTACCGGGTTCCGTTGTACCGGTTGGTATTTTGAGGCTGGTTTCTCGATCGTTAAAGGGAATGGGATAGTCAGGCTGGCTCTGTCATATGAGATCTTTCGGCTTTTCATGCGAATCGGCCATACTCGAAAGACTTCCAGGGTTGTTTCGTGTACATACACGCACAGACACATTCTCTCTCTCTCTCTCTCTCTCTCTCTCTCTCTCTCTCTCTTCTCTCTCTCTCTCTCTTCTCTGTGTGTGTGTGTGTTGTGTGTGTGTGGTGTGTGGTGTGTGTGTGTGTGTGTGTGCATCATCAATCTTTCTGTCTGTCTGTCAACATAGCTATGTATCTGTCTATTTGTTTGTCTATCTGGCTGTCTATTTACTTATCCATTTATCCATCTATATCTATTTCCATGTCGATATGTTTTATCTTATCTTTCCCGTAAATGAAATAACCTTTTTCACGAGACCCGATTTCTTTCCCACTCACTCACTCTCACTCTCACTCTCTCTCTCTCTCTCTCTCTCTCTCTCTCTCTCTCTCTCTCTCTCTCTCTCTCTCTCTCTCTCTCTCTCTCTCTCTCTCTCTCTCTCTCTCTCTCTCTCTCTCTCTCTCTCTCTCTCTCTCTCTCTCTCTCTCTCTCCTTCTCCTCTCTCTCGCCACGCATCCACGCAGCGCTACAAAGGCTTATTCCAAACATTGATCTCAGCTCGTATGACACCAGTTCATTTTCCTTTTACCTCCATTGCTATCTTTCATCCTTGACTCCCGGTTTCTCGACCTTGCGGATATTACCAGGTTTGTCGGAATCCACTTATGCCTATATGCGCTTTGAGTTATTCCTTCTCTTATTAGTATTTTCTTTTATTGTATGACTTCTCTCTTTACCCCCACAGGCTGCTTCCCACTCGCTCGCTCGCCCTCGTTCTGTTTGTTTACTTTTTTGTGCGCTTTTCCCACCTCTTTTATCGTCTGTTGTACTTTTTTTTGTTTTTTTGGTCTCTGTCAGCTGCGTAGTAGGCTGTTGATATGCTGAATATTCTATGATGTGGTAGGGATATGTTGAATGTTGAAGGGTCCTTGATAGGTAGGTAATTATGTAAATTAATCTTGTGAGATTAATATCGATGCTAATGATTCCTTATTACGGACTGAAAATTTGATAGTTTGGGAATATTCTGTTTTCAGTTATGCGTTATGTTGGTTTGATATACAGAATAGCAATATGTATTATGCAACAGGAAATGAGAGAAAATATGGCAGACTCGGTTATGGAAGGGAAGGGAAATATCTGCCACATCTACCACCATTGCCATAGTTCGGCAGCAAAGCAAGGCAGCGGCGTTTCCCTCCCACGCAAGCCAGAGGGATTCATAACACCGGCTTGGGCACCGTTCCAAAGTCGGAATCGTGACAGGGCCTCTAAAACGTGATGGAGTTCATTGTTTTTAATGTGCTGCGCTTGTAACATGCGGTAGGGGCGGGGGCGGGGGGGGGCATGCCGACGTGTAATTCAAGCTTGCATTTCTTATTTTTAGCTTGCTGTTCGTCGGCTTGACTTTGTATGACGTTTCTCTCTCTCGGCTCTCTCTTCTCTCTCTCTCTCTCTCTCTCTCTCTCTCTCTCTCTCTCTTCTCTCTCTCTCTCTCTCTCTCTCTCTCTCTCTCTCTCTCTCCTCTCTCTCTCTCGCTCTCTCTCTCTCTCTTCTTCTTTCCCTTCCTCTTCCTCCCTCCCTCCCTCTCTCTCTTACACACACACACCACACACACACACACCTTACACACACACACACACACACCACACACACAACACACACACACACACACACACACACACACACACACACACAGGACAGGTTGCTACGCTGCGGTAGCCCAGTATCGCTCCAAAATACTGGATATTTAGCTTTATGTTCCCACGTCTTACGATCGAGATTTCAGTCTTACGTGTTGTGTATACGTTACGTCATCAAACATCGGAAAAGATCTGTGATTATGATCTCTACCGCCCAGTGATCCTAAGATCGATTTTTTCGCCCGTGAATCCCAGTAATGTGATCCTTGCGGCCGTGGGTTCGTTTGGGGTCATTAAATTGAAAATATAAAAAAGCGAGTTTGGCGACATCGAGGGGAGAACTTCAGCCATATGTGCGTGCGACCGGTTCCGCGAGTTGCCGTGCTTAGGGCGTTTATTCTGTGTGCTGCGGGGGGAAACTGACACTTGATACTGTATTTAGGAAATGCTGGTGATTTTTTCGGAGATAATTTTGAAAGGGATATGGTATTTTGAAAGAGGATGTTGATGTATTGTGGAGGTAAGATGTATTAGGCATATTGTTTTTCTTCTCATGAGTGGCAGAAAAAAATACACCATACACAAAAGTATTTTGATATAGTCTTTTATTTCGTCACATTCTCAATACGGTAGTGTTTCGTCTCTCATAATGTTGAGTGTGGTGATGAATATTGTGCGGGTGACATAACTGGCACAGTGTGCTTAATGGAGCGTGGGTTATTGCATGACTATAAA